GACACAATTTCCAACACAGGCACAGCATTCTCTGTATTTGAAGTTTCTTCCGGCGACAACCGCTGTCTTTTTGCACTTTTATTAATCCACGCTAACATTTTAGAAATGCTAATTTGTGACGTGACTTGCTTTCCTTCTCTCGGGGGCGTGCCTGCTCTGTTCTATCACTCTACATAGCCACCCACTGGGTGGGAGTTGCACTGCATAAACACAACACACGTGCATCTAGGTATGTAAATTGTAAAGCATTAAAACATGGTTTTACTAACAGTTTTCAGTATGTTGTTACTTCGGCATTATTATTATTATTATTTTGAAACGTGTATTACTATTAAATCACGGTGAAATAGGTTAATTTTGACATAGTCGTTTCCACCACAGTATTTACATGGAGAAGATAAGCCCCGCCCCCTCTCCAGCACGTTCTGTTTGAATGACAGGAGTAAACAGCTGACAGCCGCTGTGAAACTCCAGCGGTTAGAGCAATGAGAATGTCCGTTCGGCACCTCATGACGCATCTACTGAGTACCGGGCGGCTGTATATATATATATGGATGTATAATAAGAACGGCGGGAGAGTGTTGAGTACTGGCACGGTGCATGAGTACCGGAGTACCGCCAGCATGCCGGTACTGAGCAAGAAGTGCCGGTACTCCATGGGTCAGAACCAGAAGCGCCGGTGTTACCGTTTAACTGGTTACACCGGGGAACTCGTTACGTTCCGTTAACGGTAGGAATGGGGCGTGTACTTTGAGGAGCCATTGTCGAATAACAAGGAAATACACATTTCGATCGCTTCTTTTGTTGTTTACATTTATCTTTTGGTATATTTGGCTCCATAGGAACACTTTGATGCACATCCAGTACCAGTGTGTGAGGTTGTGGTTGCGATGCCGATATCCGGACGCGTACAGCGAGGACTACAAAATGACAATGAGGTGACTGGGGATGTCTGTTCAAAACATTGCAAACGTGAATAAATCATTTCAAATATGTATTTGTCTCCGACTTTCATTTGTACATCGTTGTTAATGTGATGTTTAGTAACTTTGATAGCTGTCCATGCCTCCAGACAGCCTAAAAGTAAGACACAAGTTGTTTACTCACAGCCCGAATGCAGCATCGAGATCCGTGGCCAGCTGTGATCCTCTCCGATTAACTTGTGACAGGACTTCTTTAGCTATTCTCCAGCGAGCAAGGTTTTTATTAAATACCTCCATCCCTCTCATCACAACAAGACTCTACACTGTGCAGAAAAAAAACAACATAAATGAAAATAACCTTGCTGGATAGCTTAGAATGAAACAAACAAACTATCTTCCATGGCTGATACTGATGTCACAGTAACGGCTAAACCACAGACAAGTCCAGCGGGGGGGGGGCACAAGTTGAATCCATATAATGAAATTGTTATTTTATATATATGTATATACATATATATATATATATATATATATATATACATGCTATATATTTATATTTATTTCTATCCTACATTGTCTAGGCCAGAGGTGCCCAGTACGTCGACCGCGGGCGACCGGTCGACCGCGGGGGCAATGCTGGTAGATCGCGAGTCATTCATAAAAAAAAAATCCTGTTCCGTTAAAATAGACAAAACAGGTTTTGATCCCTCCTCCCTTGGCCTCCCTGCCACTTAATTCAGGAGTTTACTTGATTGACAGAAAAAGCGACCTATCGCTTTCCAGTCTGTTAACCCAGAATGCAAAGCGATACAAAATCAGTCAAGTGCCGGGACAAACAACAAACAACAAAATGAGTGCAGGACCGAGCAAGAAGCTAAAGACATACCACTTCCACCCAGAATGGGAGGAAGAATATTTGTTTGTGATGTCACATTCAAAGGTTATTTGCCTTATTTGTAAAGCAAGCGTCGCTCTGCCAAAGAAAGGTAACGTGGAGAGGCATTATCGGAGTGTTCACAAGGCATATGACAGCGACTTCCCTCCGAGTAGCGAGTTGAGAAAGAGAAAGGTCATGTATTATTGCTACACAAATATTATCTCGCAATCTTAGTGTCGCCAACTCGTTTCTAACATGCAAAAAGACAAACAAATGTCGGTGTATTTTCGATCTTTCCAATCGAGACGAGATCTCTCTCCCCCGTCTGTGCGCGAGGGGGCGGGGCAGTTTACACACACGCGGCTGCTACAAGCAGCAACACACGGCGGGGATGGCGGAGAGAAGCGCTCCAAGGTGTGGTTAAATGTTACCCGTCTTGAAGTGGACAATGCTCCTTGCCAAGAGAGTTCAGCATGTGAGGGCGGTAACACGAGCAATTTGTCTAAACATTTATCAAAAGTGCACCACATTCAGACGGAGGAATGCACCGGGTTCGACTGTCTTTCTAGCAGCTCTGCAGCCCCATCCACGAGTAACGTTTCCACGTCAGGTGTTATGTATGCTAGCAGCAACACACGGAGTTAACTCCATGATACAAACATGGGTTAATGATTAGAGGAAACTGAGTTACTCTTTATTTTGTTAAAGTTTCAGCTATTCTGTTCACAGTTCTGTCATCAGATTATTTAATACGATTTGTTAAAACATTGTTGTTTCTTTTGATGTGAAATATTATTTATTTTATTTAAATAAAAAGCAATGTTAGTTTTGTTCACAATTTGTTAATTTAATAATATATGTATTTTTGAATCAAGTATTAATCTTTATTGTCTTCATTGTTAGTTTCCACATGCCTAAAACAACCTCAAGCTAAATCTAAAAGTTGATGGCTAAACAAGAGGGTTTGAGAAATTGTGCAAGGCATACAGTAATAGTCTGAATAGTCGATTAGTCGTTTAATTAATCGATAGATTAATCGATTATCAAATTAGTCGTTTGTTGCAGCCCTATTATCCCATGTATAAATAAAACGTGTTATTCAGCAACCCTTGCAATTTGGGATTTTATTTTTGGTTGGTAGACCTCGGTGAGCTGGTCATTTCAAAAGTAGCTCACCAGCCCAAAAAGTGTGGGCACCCCTGGTCTAGGCTATATAAACCGGCGGAAGTGTCACAACTTTCTTTGTTTGTGATTATAGAGAGAGATAGATAGCGACAGAGAGATAGATAGAGATACTGTAGAGATAGACATAGAGAAAGATCGGCTGTGCGTAAGTGTGTGTGTGTGTGTGTGTGTGTGTGTGTGTGTGTGTGTGTGTGTGTGTGTGTGTGTGTGTGTGTGTGTGTGTGTGTGTGTGTGTGTGTGTGTGTGTGTGTGTGTGTGTGTGTGTGTGTGTGTGTGTGTGTGTGTGTGTGTGTGTGTGTGTGTGTGTGTGTGTGTGTGTGTGTGTGTGTGTGTGTGTGTGTGTGTGTGTGTGTGTGTGTGTGGGAGAGAATAGCTGTAGGACTAACCAAGAGGGGATGGATTCAGGAGTTGTTAAACAACTGATGGATTTTATGATCCACGATATTTATACTGATGGCTTGAAAAAAAGAACATTGTTGACAATTATCCTTTATTATCTTGTATGAATATATCTGGTATATTGCTCATTTTCCATAAAAGAAAAACATTTATTTGAGTTTGATGCATACAAATACTGTAGATGATGATTGTTGAAAATGCACTTTTACCATAAAACGCCAGCACGACCAGTTGGTTGAGGCTCATAAAAACAAAACTGTGTAGACAGTAAAAAAAAAAGTAGTTTGTGTCCCATTTCATAAAAAAAATGAAAACAAATACTTTTTCCATAGATTTTTTTCTTGGTCTGCCAAATAAAGGGTTAAGCCTATATGTTTAAGCAATTATGTCTGCCCTCTCCATCTTGCACCATTAGGACCCACTGATATAAAATGCTTAACTGCCTAAGTTGCAACTATGCACTTTTTGGTGGGCTAAGCGCCAGCTTCACATATTTTTGGCTACATTTAAAGTGCCAAATGTAAGTTTAGATATTATGCAATGCAACGTGTTTCTTGGCCTACATCAGTGTTATAGAAGGAAAGACAACAGTGATAATGTTTCAGAATAACATTTATTGGAAATTGTTGGAAAAATATCACTTTTCACCAGTTTGAGCTTCAACCTCAGGATCCGTCTGTGATCCTCTCCAGAATGGAAGTAGTCATCACATACAGAGCATCAACTAGTTCCTGAACAGTGTCCCTCACATGCTGATATCCAAGAGAGGGAGTTACACAGTCACAAGGTGGAGGAATATAAAGCAGTATTCAATGTTTACTTCAGATTAGCTCCGCGTCAGAAATGAGCATGCTTGATGTCTATCTCCATAGAGGCTGAATCATCATGTTCATCAGATAGCTATCATATGCCTCAAACAGTCCTGATGCTCTTCTAGGTAATCACACATCCTGTCATGTTCACAGCTACAGTTGGGATACCTTTGTCATCATGTTAATCACATAGCTATCATATGCCTAAAGGGAGGCATGTGGCGCAGTGGGATAGTGCGTTGGTGTTCGGATCAGGGACACTTCACCCCAAATTGCTCCTGTGGGGATTGTCCACAGTATTGAGTATGTAAGTCGCTTTGGATAAAAGTGTCTAACAAGTAACATGTCATGTAATGTAAAACAGTCCTGATGCTCTTCTATTTATTTAATGGTTTATTTAGCAGGGGCAATGCACAGTAATCTATCTGTCTCGCTATCTATCTCTCTGTCGCTATCTATCTCTCTCTATAATCACAAACCAAGAAAGTTGTGACACTTCCGCCGGTTTATATAGCCTAGACAATGTAGGATAGAAATAAATATAAATATATATAGCATGTATATATATATATATATAAAATAACAATTTCATTATATGGATTCAACTTGTGCCCCCCCCCCGCTGGACTTGTCTGTGGTTTAGCCGTTACTGTGACATCAGTATCAGCCATGGAAGATAGTTTGTTTGTTTCATTCTAAGCTATCCAGCAAGGTTATTTTCATTTATGTTGTTTTTTTTCTGCACAGTGTAGAGTCTTGTTGTGATGAGAGGGAGAATAGCTAAAGAAGTCCTGTCACAAGTTAATCGGAGAGGATCACAGCTGGCCACGGATCTCGATGCTGCATTCGGGCTGTGAGTAAACAACTTGTGTCTTACTTTTAGGCTGTCTGGAGGCATGGACAGCTATCAAAGCTACTAAACATCACATTAACAACGATGTACAAATGAAAGTCGGAGACAAATACATATTTGAAATGATTTATTCACGTTTGCAATGTTTTGAACAGACATCCCCAGTCACCTCATTGTCATTTTGTAGTCCTCGCTGTACGCGTCCGGATATCGGCATCGCAACCACAACCTCACACACTGGTACTGGATGTGCATCAAAGTGTTCCTATGGAGCCAAATATACCAAAAGATAAATGTAAACAACAAAAGAAGCGATCGAAATGTGTATTTCCTTGTTATTCGACAATGGCTCCTCAAAGTACACGCCCCATTCCTACCGTTAACGGAACGTAACGAGTTCCCCGGTGTAACCAGTTAAACGGTAACAACGGTACTGCGTACCGGTGAGTACCGGCCCAATTCCAGCACTGGTATTGTGGACATAAAGTGTCCGGAATGTTGCACTGCAGGCAGCGGCTCGCGCACAGACGGGCCTTGTTATGCAAAGAGCAGTCCACATGATTCACCCAAACACATGTCTGTGTGCAGCAGGGAGTCTGGACCTGTGTCTGTTAGTTAGCCTGCATGCTGTCAGTGAATCGATACGTGTCGCACTACTGTTCACTTTCACATGACTAGATGCATGCACTGCTTTAATTGAGTATTGCCCAACATTTATGGCGCTCACAGGCATTCCCAAGATCCCTTACTCACCCAGTGCTGGGCCTGCAGATGTTCTGTGCTTCAAACACTACAATGCAGAGGAGGTAGGCGTGACACACACACACACACACACACACACACACACACACACACACACCACACACACACACACACACACACACACACACACACACACACACACACACACACACACACACACACACACACACACCACACACACACACACACACACACACACACGTGAGCTTCCCCTAGACCAGTAATCCAAACGAAAATATCTTCCCTCCGTAGTATTTTGATCATTTGCTCCGATAATCAATCAGATCGATGGATTCCAGAGATTTTTCTCAAAAATGATGACTCTGAAACAGTCAGTGGGCACCACTTAACAGCCAATCAGAATGAGAATATGTTTCACATGTGACGTATTTAAATTGCGAGTGATTGAGTGACAGATGAAGGTTGTTTAGGAGAAAATATGAAGGTAGATATGGTGCAAAATGCGAGAGCGTGAAAACCTGATGTGAGCACTTGTAGAAAAAAAAGTTTGTGTACATAAATGTACACTTGTATAAAATATCCACGTAACTGTGAACCAAATGTACACTTGTATAAAATATCCACGTAACTGTGAACCAAATTTACACTTGTAAAAAATATCCACGTAACTGTGAAACAAATTTGAAGTCACAGAAAAAAAAAAAAAGTTTTGTAGCTTGTATAAAAAAAATGAACTTAGTTATGAAATGTTCACTTGCAGAAAAATACATATTTTTTAAATATATTTTCCATTACAACTGCAACTTTATTTATTACAACCTCTCAAATCAGTCATTACAACTTGACGAATCTGCTCTGTGGCAGTATAAATCGACGAATCTGCGGTCTTGACTTTTGCTACACTTCTTGCGATAAATCTGTCGCAAAAGTAATTTTCACCTGTAGATGTGGGGGGAGGGAGGGGGGTTGGAGCGAAGGGGCGGAGCTATCAGAAGGACGAGGCTCGGGTGACTGGAGACTGCGGGCTAACGGTTCGTGTCGCTACCAGTCCGCTGACATGGCGCTTCAATCAACGGTATATTTTGCCCATTACTTGCCCAGTATTACTTTGAATATTATTATTGTGATTGAGGATTAAATCCGCTTTGAAGACCACCGTTTTATATCGTGCACTTTAGCGGCAAAATAACGTCAGTCAGCCAGCTAACGCTAGCTTTGTTGAGTTTATGCTAGCCAAACAAGTAGTGGTTGTAGTCTACAGCAGTAATTAATATATTATAGCCTACTGCTTTGGCACTAACGGTTGATAACCGTTTATGAAAATAAAACCAATTGAACTGTACTGAAATAATGACAAGTTTTATAATTGTCTTGGGCTCCTGCTGTGTTTTTAAAGCCTTTGTAAATTATCCATGCTATTTTCTATTTAGCTAACGTCGAAGTAGTGTATGTGAAATCAGCCTCATAATAAGATGTGTGTATATTACAATTATTAATGTAATATTTCAAGATGATTACTTAGATATTACAATATGGTTGGTTGAGCTGGAGTTCATTATTGAGCTTACACGTTAACGTCACAGTCATCGGAAGAACGAACCCAAACCTTGTTGTTTTTATTAATTGTATTACCAAATTGATATCAAATAAACAGTAAGCATTGGTAACACAATTTCCAAAGTTACAGTAAAATAAAAAGGACCCTGACTCGGACAATACACAATCCAACATGTTCAACAGAAGAAAATCAGTTATATTGTTTGTACACATGGTTCTTTACATATATATATATATATCTGTTTGTTTAAGGTGTCCAGGTGATGCAGACAGGCTGGACCAGAGAGTGAGAGACAGAACTGGGGCCTATACGACGAAGCTGGTTCAACTAACCTGGATATGTTTGAGTTAGCCGGTTGGCCTAATCCAAAACATACGCGCTCTCGCTAAACTGTACTACGACGCTGGTTATCAAGTGGATCGCTCAAGCCAGCCGTGTCCTATCTAGTTAGGTGCGCGTTCACATGAAAGGGGTGGTATCTGGAGCATTCGACCAATCACAAACATGGAGAAGCGTACTGACAGCGCAGCGTCATACTTCCTGAATGAAAAGTGAACTTTAATACTCGTCAAAAATGAAGAAGTGGCCTGCTCTTGCCAGGATGTCTAAGCCAGTTAAACGTTGTGCTGTTGTTGGCTGCAAGACTCGAGAAAGGGGAATGCATGCAATGCCATCAGTGGAAAAAGAAAATAATCTGTGGCTAGACTTCATTTTCAAGGGACATGTGCCAGAAGACCACGGCAGATTTCTGTTGGTGTGACTGTGTTCCAAACATTTTACGACGGACATGTTTATGAACTTCTCTCAAGTCCAACACGGATATGCCTCCAAACTAATGCTAAACCCGGGATCAATACCAACCACCCGGGACCAGGCCAGTGAGGACACATCCAATTTTGAAGCTGTAAGTTTTTATTTAGCTGTGTTTTTCCTGATAAAGCTATCTCTAGCTTGTAGTATGTAGCATGTAGCATGTAGCTTCGCCGTATCAATGTCGCCTCAAATCCAAATAGTAATCGGTTAGGTGTTTATATGTTTTTGTAACGTTTTATTTTGTACGCTCCGCAGTCTTTGCTTTGTCTTTTATTTTAATTATCAGGCATTTGCTAACATGTTCAGACATACTGCCATAATGGCGATCTGTGTGAAGGCTGTAAAGCCACGCCCTAGCCGATAACACAAGTATTTATTCTCCTATTTATTAGTATTTTGTATCCTCTAAAATCATATTGAGTAAGTTATAATAACAAACGTAATCTTCTGTAGGTAAGTGCCGTTTTTTGCAGCGTTATATGTAAAAGCTTTTGTGATTGTAGTCTGTAAGAACGATCAGATATCATCGATCTGTAAGCTACGCTACGCTAATGAGACATGCCGTTTTTTGCAGCGTTATATGTAAAAGCTTTTGTGTGTTTACTTGTTTGCGCACATGAATATAAATGGGGGTGTGTGAGGATACAACACTGTGTGTATGTATGCGAGGGAGGACACACACCACGAGTAAAACGGAGCTAAAGCCCCGTTGGTCTGTTGTTGTTGACGAGGCCTTACCTCTAGCAACAGGCTAATTAGTGGCTAGCACTCATTACAGTCAGTCTACTGAGCTCAGCCCCTCCAACATGTCATCTGTATTGAGTCAGAAACACAGCATGCACGTTACGGTTCAAAACTAACTCAGATTGGAAAAGGCTAAGCAAAGAGCTTTGCTAAATAGAGAGTTTTAAGCCCCATCTTTTGGGATTTCAGACTATATTTATCCAAATATAATAGATTTTGTTCTAACTATGTTTTCTAATTTACAGGCCAGCACCTCACATACTTACTAATTAGTGACAATTTGTACATCCTTTGCTATTATTTACATTTTTTTTTAATCATGGCGGAAATGAAAGACTGTACCTGGCAGCCCTGCACTACAATGAAAACGCTGAGCGTGCACAAGCCAACATCCACTGGAAACCCTCTGTATAAACTGCAGTTCCCAAAGGCCAGGAAGGGAGAATGCAGAGCAAAACCAGTAAAGACTGACCCCACATTCCGTAAGTGTTTAAAATATTTATTATACAACTATTTACAAATATAAAATAAAAAAATTAGAAAGAACTTTCAGTTTTTTACATGCATATACTAATCTAAACCAAATTTTTTGTTGTGCTTTTTTTTTTTAACATTGCACAGGCTACGTGGCCAACTTGATGGACCTCATCTTCGACCAAGTCTTTGTGGACCCTGCACCATTATGAGCGACCTGACAGGGAGGAGGTCATCGCCGGGTATGCTACACGGTTCAATTTGGCTGCTGTCTGAACCCAACATCGACATTTTGCGGATCAGGAAACTCCTGCCTCCCTGAGGACAACGCAGGCCGGAATCACCACTCTGATCCTGCGTCCAAGGAAGCCCCAGCACCAGCTCACAAAGCTTCTGTAGGCTAGATACCTGTGACGCCTGAAATCATTAAAAAAAATATTTAGTGTCATTTATACAAAATACAAGTACATTTAGTTTTTTTTTATGGGTTCAAAGAACCGTTGATTTTGACAATAAAGTTCCGAGTTGATATCAAATGTGTCGTGATTATTCATGTTTGGATGGGTAAAGAATATTCTGATTTCAAAAGCATAAGGTTGTGTGTGGACTTTTGTTGTCGTACACATGGGTGTGTTATGCCATTGCTGTGTAGTATATAATAGTACATGTACAATGACAGCATGAAAGA